GGGTCCTCATTTTACCCACCTCAGAAGGATGGAAGGCTGAGTCAACCTTGAGCCTGTGAGATTAGAACCGCTGAACTGAAGATAACAGTCAGCTGAAGTGGCCTGCAGTACTGCACCCTAACCACTGCGCCACCTCGGCTCTTCAGCAGGCTCTGACAGGTTCTGGAGAACTGGTAGCAGAAATTTTGAGTAGTTCGGAGAACAGGCAAATACCACCTCCGGCTGGCTCCAGAGTGGGGTGGGAAAGGAGATTTTCCAAAATCTTTCCCCCTAGAGTGGGGTGGAAATGGAGATTTTTCAGTATCCTTCCCCTGCCACGACCGCCAAGCCACACCCACAGAACCGATAGTAAAAAAAAAAAATGAATTTCACCACTGCTATCATGTCATCTCCTCAGCCTTCCTTCCACAGAACCTTATTAGGACTTGTCCTCTATTTTCATTTTGTTGCCTCATTCTGACCCAGTTCTAGTCTGTATTAGTCAGGGTTTTTTTTCAAAAAATACCTGGAGCCCAGATTTAGCGTATTAAATACTGCCCACTTTTATATAACATGGGACAATTACTCCCCACCATTTGGAAAGTCAGGTTATACGAAAGCTTCCTACAGTTCCAGTGTTTCTCCAGCTCTTTCAAATTTGCTCAAGTGCAAGGCAACTGCAGAATCGCTTGGGACCACAGTAAGTCCCAGGAGTAGCTAATATGCAAAAAGTTCAAAAAGTAAAGAAGCTGAATAAGAATGTAAAGACATGAATTGGTGATGATTCAGTTGTGAGTTACTAATTAGACCTTTTCAGAGAATTCAAACTTATCTCTTCAGATTAGATCAATTTCCCCAACTTGTTATTTCCCAATTATCTGATACTACAACTCCCATAATTGCCAGCCTATGCAGCCATTAGCAAAATTCCCCTTTGATTTTAATATGCATCAGCAAGGTACTTCCTTCCAATAAATTACGGATATCAGAATAAGGGTGTAAACTCTTTAATATGTTACTACAAAGAGTTGATAGTTCCATCAATTAACTGATGAGATCTGGGCACCTGGGAAAACCGAATTTGTGCAACGATGCTTAGGCTTCTTATTTATGAAGCATATTTCTGTGCTGCTGCAATCAAAATGACTTAAAGCAGATTACAGTTTAGAATGTGCATGGTGCAACCATAACACAACAAACACATGATAGTACCATGATGATGTACCTATGGCACGCGTGCTGGAAGTGGCCTGCAGAGCCATTTCTCTGGGCATGCGAGTCATCTCCCGTTGCTCTTCTGGGTTCCAGAGAGCCAGCCAGCTGGTCTTCACACACGCGGGAGCACCGTAAACCGGAAGAGCAGCCGCCTGGTGTGCATGCATGTGCCAGGAAGATGATTTCCGGTTTGTGGCATGCGCACCAGCCAGCTGGTCTTTGTGCATGCGCATGCCAGAAACTGGAATATCATCTTCCTGGAGTGTGCATGTGCACCAGGCGGCTGCTCTTCCGGTTTCTGGCATGCTAGTGTGTGTGTGCTCTCATTTTGGCACTTAGTGCTGAAAAAGTTCGCCAAGGCTATGATAGTACGCAAACCTAAAGATAGCAATGTCAGTCTCAACTTAGGGAAGAGCTGACGGGAGCAGTTCAGGCTTTACAATTTCCTTAAAACCAATAGTGAGGGAACTAGCAGCCATTTCATGAGGCAGCCATTTAACTGCATCAGGGCTGCCACAGAAAAACAGCACCTCATGTCTCAGTGACGTGCGGTGAGGTTTATGGCTGGTGAGGCAGTCCTCTCCCCCGACACCCTACTGACTAAAGCACTTTCTTTCACCCGCCTGAGCTCGCGGCAGCCCGCCTGAGCTCTGCCGCAAGCTCAGGCGGGTGAAAGAAAGTGCTTTAGTCAGTAGGGTGTCGGGGGAGAGGACTGCCTCACCAGCCATAAACCTCACCGCACGTCACTGAGACATGAGGTGCTGTTTTTCTGTGGCAGCCCTGATGCAGTTAAATGGCTGCCTCATGAAATGGCTGCTAGTTCCCTC